GCCCGTCCCGCTTCACACCCTCCCCGCCCTTCCCAGCTCCGGACAGCACCGCACTGCCAAGATGCTGGGCCCGCGCGGGTCTGCAGCGCCACCTCCTGGCCGCTGCTCAGCATTGCAGCCCTGGGCCCGGGGTCGCAGCCTGACGGGCGTTGGGTGCGGTGGGCTATTTGGGAAGGGCATGCGGTGGGTGGGACGGCAGCTGGATGTGTGAGGAGTGAGGGCTGAATCCTCTCCATCCTTGAAGGAATTTCCCACAATCCTTTGCTTTCTGCTGTGTGACTGTCGTGGGTAGACCTGGTGCTAAGCTGCCCCCCAGGCTGGGAACAGACCGGATCTTTCTCCCCAGATCCTGCAATATCGAGAGATCGATTGTGGCCCTGGCTTTGCGGGGGACCCTCCCGCTCACACCTGGCTCTGGCTCTCTCCCTCGCTCCAGGCTTGGCGTCCAGGTCTTCTCCCAAGAAACCGCGCGGCCGGAACATTTTCAAGGCGCTTTTCTGTTGCCTCCGCGCACAGAATGTCGGGCAGTCGGTCTGCGGAGGGGAGCGTGTGCTGCGCAAGGAGGAGGCCAGCACCATCGCCAAGGTGAGGGGGCGGCAGGGCTCGTGGGTTTCCCCCGCGGGCCTGTCTCTCAAGAACGAACCTGCTTCGCCACCGATTGCAGGGAGCCCAGGAGTCCGTTGCTGGTTCTTACTCCAGATGTGATTCTATGGAGCCTGATCTAGGTATAGCCCCCCTCCCCCCCAAAACGGCACCGATCTTCCCCCAAAACTCAGAGCTGGGGTGCGGGGACCCCCACCAGCTGGGGTGGGGATGTTCCTCCGGGAGGCTGCATCGGGTCCCCTCTCCGTAAACGAGTCACTGTAGGTCGGGGGTTTCCAAACGACGGGGCATGACCCAGGGCTGGGGGGATGTCGGGCCCTGGGTCACGTGGCTGCAGGGGGGATCAGGTGAGCAGTTTGGGGGGTAGGCTGAGGCAGCTCCCTGCCTGTGCTGGCCCTGCAGGCTGGGGCC